TGTGATATTCCCAATGCGATCAAAATGATGGAATATTCTTACTTTCCAAGGAGCTGGAGAAATTGAATTGTATAGTTATTAAGGGACATTAAGAAATTTTGATTTCATTTACCACTATTTGTATTTGCAATTGACAATATTGCTTTCTCTACAAAATAAATAAAATGATTGATGAGTTAAAATGAAATAACCGTTTTGTTTAATCATTGCAGTGAAAATATTTTGTACTATACGTAGAATTGAAAAGTTTTACTTTCAGACAAGGAGTAATTTGTTGAAATGTACACCTAGCTCATGGTCATCGACTCAGCCAATGTTCAAACCAGAGTTAGAAGCCAAGTCAGAAATGTGTGGCCTTAATATTTGTTCTCTCTGGGCCATGTCAGCTAAACCATACAGGCCCCCATATGTGCAAACCAATATGCCATCCATATATATGGGCCTCATATGGGACACCTATATACCACCCATGTGCAGTTGCAATGGGTACCATGTTTGTCCCACATGGAACTTTGGTGGAGAATACGAGGGGCCCCATATGGGCAGACCCATCTTACATCCATATGGGCCAGAAAATAATGGGCCCCATATATCACCCATGTGCAATTCCATATGGGTACCATGTGAGAATCCCGTATGCCACCCATGTACAAATGCATAAGGGTACCATGTTGGCCCCATATGGGTTCTCTGAAAGATGTGGGCCCCACATGGGGCTTGGGTGCAAAATCCGGAGGGTGCCTTAAGGGCTAGTCCATATCATACCCATTGGTTGGGAAATATAGGTTCCATATGGGCCCCCAATGGGTTATACCTGGGCTATGGGTTAAACCACATGGGCCCCACATGGGGCTTGGGTGCAGAATCTAGAGGTTTCCTCAAGGATAGCCCATATGTTACCCATATGGGTCGGGAAAATATAGGTCCCATATGGGAAACCCATATACCACCCATGTAAAAATGCATGTGGGTTCCATATGGGCCCCAAATGGTTTATATCTTGGCTATGGGCTAAATCAGATGGGCCCTACATGGATCTTGGGTGCAGAATCCGGAGGTTTCCTCAAGGATAGCCCATATGTTATCCATATGGGTCGGGAAAATATGGGTCACATATGGGAAACCCATATACCACCCATGTAAAAATGCATGTGGGTTCCATATGGGTCCCAAATGGGTTCTACACTGCCCTCCGGGCTGATGTAGGAATTCCATGGGATGTGATCGCGCACGCGTAAACCAGTCGTGTTCGTTCGTGTGTGACGACCAGACGAAGTTTTACTTTCTCTGAAAAATTTTCGAAGCTATAATCACAAAAGCTAGGTACACTTTATTATTCTGACCGCCTTCTGAATTATATTTGATCATAGATAGGCCTAGAGCATAGTATAGGATTATTATGGATCATCAAGCTGATAAGGACGAATTAGGGCCTAGTACCGGTGACGGTACAGTTTCTAGGAGTTTGGCGCCATGTGCACCAGCAGCAGGTGACGAGGCGCGCGCCGAGGGCTTAGGCCTAGTAGAAATACTCGCAGGCATGCAACAAAGCATGCAGGCTACTAATGAATTGTTAATGCAATTAACAAAGCGGGGAAGAGATGGAGTATCTGCTTCAGTTCATGGTACAGCTGCACAGC